AAAAAAAAAAAAGAAAGAAAAGAAAAAGAAAAAAAGACATTTCCCTCGTGACTTTTTCCAATGGATACGCACCCCCGTCCTGTTACCCAACTCACCCACATCCACCCACTCGCCGCAATATGGCATCGTTGAATATTCGCGTGCATGCAACGGTTTAAAACACGGCTTGCTTTGAACAAAAGGAATTCATGAACATATATAACTGGTATTCAACACGCACCCTTTCTCTCCCTTTCTCTTTTTCTTTCTGTTTTTTTTTTTTGTTTCATTTTTTAATTTTATATCGACTGAAGGAGAACGTTCGCCAAGAACTCTTCTATCGTTATGGATTATATGATAATAAAATAGAAACGGGAAGGGAACAAAAGGAGAATAAAAAGCAGAAAAGAAAAAAAAAAACAGGATTGAAATAGTGCTAATATCTGTGGACGGGGGAAAGAAAAGAAAAAGAAAAAGAAAAAGAATAAAAAGGGGAGGGGGGGGAACAAAAATTTACATATTTTTCGCATAGTTTTTAATGGTCGATTCATTCATTCGTTTCAATGGTTTTTCTTTCAATTCTGTTAAACTTTTTTTCTTCACCTTTTACTTTCTTTCTTTCTTTCCTTCCTTTATTCCTTCATTCTAGTTTCTTACCTTTCATTGGTATATTTAATTAAAATTCTACATTACCGAATATCGATCATGGTACGACGAAAAAGATATGAAAAGAAGGAATAATGCGTTGTTGAAACGCGAGAGGAGAAAAATATCTGAACAGTATTATGAATATTTCAATATCTCTGTTCGTCTGATAATCAAAAATTCGTGCTCGAAGGATTACGAATATAATAATTGAATAAAAGTACCCATATATCAATTTGAAATATAATAAGAATAAGATTCGTATATTCATGTTTCTCAGTTGATATCATATAACAAACATTTTTATTCTATCAAACGCGTAATTATAAATTAAATCGTTCGAATTTTTCTTTTTTCAATTATAAATTATAAATAAGAATTTGTTACGCGTATAAAATGAAAATAATGTTGGAAATATTTTAAAACGTAACACGTTAATAATATATACGATATCGATAACGAATGGAAACGTTTCTTTTTCTTATTTTTTTTCTTTTTGTATTTGTTCCCGTTTTTTTTTCTTTTTTTAATCAGTGTATCGGAATATTTCGCGAGATCGTCGAATAATTTCTAACTTTTGGCACGTAGTGTATACGAGTAGGGTGAAAGGGGGGAAAAAAAGAGGGGCGGGTGGGTAAGGGGGGGGAGGAAATGGATTTGAAGAGACAGACGGATGAAGGCAATTACGCGACCCGATCGAAAATTCTCCCTTTTCCCCCCTTCTTCTTCTACTTCTTCTACATTTTTTGTCCCTCTTTTCCTATTTTATTTCTTGTTTTTTTTTTTTTTTTTTTTTCATTAGCGTACCTTTTCTTTGCGAAGAAAAAAAAAAAAGAACGAGAGAAAATCAAAATAAAAAAGAAAAAATTGACTCTGGCAATTCCTTCGTCCGATATACGAGATACGGAATTATTTTGAGTTATTTGTTCGTTCGTTCGTTTGTTCCAGAACAACCGGTAATCCGGCGAGCAAATCACCAGCCGGGGGCAGTGCAGGTCCAGCAGCTAGCAGTGCAGGTGCAAGTGCTGCTATCGTTGCACCGGGTAGTGCAAGTAATGTCGGCCCTAGTAGCGAACCACGCACCCCAACGGCTGGACCCCAAAACAAACAATTACAAAATGTTAAAGGAGATCATCCCTCGGTACGACGATCTTTTTATTATATTAATTTGTTGTACATTTTTTTCTATTACTATCGTAAAAAATTCTTGATAAAATAACATTCCGTTATAGACACACACACATGTTGCAATCCCATTATACAATTTTTCTCTTTCCTTTACTTTCCTATACCTTTGCAGAATTATTTTAGAAAAGTAAACCAACGATTATATTGTATTTTCTAAATATATTTTTCTTATATTTTTTTTATCGTGATATAGTATAACAACAACAAAATAACCTTTACCTGATACCTTGCAGAATTTCTTGAAAAGAAAAAAAATCAAACAAAAAGGTGTCACAATTATTATACTTATTAAATATATTTATTCAATAAATTTTCTTGTATATTTTATCGCGAAATAATATAACAAAGAAAAGAATCTATTTAATGTCGAAAAAAAAAAAAAAAAAAGGAAAGAAAGGTAATAGAAATCCCAAAAGTATCCTGGTTATTATTCCCCAAAGAGAGTAACCACCTTATATTTAGAAAACCACTAATGTAATTCATATGTCTACCTGCATCATCTCGTCTTTTTTCCTCCCTATAATATAACTTTCTTTCTTTAATTCGGTGTTCGCGTCGAGAGAAAAAAAAAAAAACAAGCCCAACCTATATTTAATTAAATTCGTAAATAACGAATAGCGTCGCATTCTTTTCTCGCATAGTTTCTCGGGATATTTGCCGTATTAAAAAGTTCCCCGGGGTTATATACGGGGCTCATAGTAACCTACGACTTATCGATTCTATTTTCTTATCTTATTTTTCTTTTTTTTATCTTCTTCTTCTTATTATTATTATTATCAAACTCTCGCAAACTGCTCGCGAGGTATTAATTATTATTCGATAAGAAATCTTTTTTTTCTTTTCCCCCCTCCCATCCCCATTCTTCTCATTCTTCTTTATTATGTCACACCTAAATGTTAATTTGAAATTATATAATACAAATAAAATTTTTTGTGTCTACATTAATCGATAGAAAAAAAAAAAAAAGAAATAAATAAAAGAAGATATATTTTTGTGCTTATATTTGTCCGAACAAATGTGTTGGTTTATTTTTTTATTTCTTTTTTTTTTTTTCTGTCGAGTTAACGATCTATCTACCAGTCCCAATTTAGTTCTCTTATTATCAGAACTTCAGTTCGGTAACAAGACGTGTCCATTACCAAGATTCACTCTGTAATTAGAGTCAACTTGTCTTTTGAACCTTTGACTAAGCACTAACACTAACATCCCTGAAATCTATTACTTTGGTAAAAACGAGCCTTTAATTATTGTTACCAACTCATTCCTCATTTATCCTTACTTCTATAAGCTGCTTATGCCAAATGTCTAATTTTATCTTTTATCTTTACACTATGAATTATGTCGAACAACTCGTTATTTGTAAAATTTAACTTACAGTATTCAAAGTATACCTTTGATTAGCTCGTATTTTATGTAAATGTCATTCTAGATGTTAGAGTTCAACGTTTTTACATTTAATAGTAATTCAAATAGTTAATTTTAATGAAATCAATGTTATTTATTTGTTATATCATTATTTCGTTAACACATTGTAATTGTATCATTGAAAGAAATGTATGCACATTGCAGGCTGATAAATTTTCGGTATTCTTACTTACATTTTTTCAAATTTATTTTAACGTTCAAAATATACTTTTAATTGTATTAATCAAATACGGGGTAAATTAAAATTAAAAATGATCCTGTACAGGTAAATTAATAATTTTTCCAATAATTTGTTCTTGAGAGATATATAAAATAGAAATAAAATTTTATTTATGCATTAATATATATATATATATATATATTAAAGATTTACGAATAATTGTTAGAAATGTAAAAATCATAGTTTGAAAAATAATCTATCGAATAAATTTAATAAACACACGAAATAATATATATTTACGTGGATAAGTTATCGTGAAATATCGAAATAATATTGTATCGATATTATCGTACTCCTCTTTCCATAGAAAATCCTATAAAATATTTTCCCCTAACACCCTCGTTTTCTTCGGTCACTCCTTCTTCGTTTATTTTCTTTTTTCTTTCCTTTCTTTTATCCATATTTATAAGACAAATAATATCTTTCGGGGTTAATATTTTTAACGCGAGAACGTGTACAAACTTCTACGATATGAAATTTAAACGAATAATACGATCATGTCACGCACGCGTGTTACGTTGTTATTTTTTATAGTAAGAGTATATAAAAATCAATGAGAATTATGATTTTCGGATAACTTTGAGAAACCCGTTCGAATTTAATACAATTTTAATACAAATTAAATCTTTCTTTTATTTATATTTTGTTTGTTTTTTGTTTGTTGTCTCTTTAAGCTTTTCATTTTCTATCTTTTCGAAATTGAAATGGTAGTATAAATCGATTGACCGCATTTTAAATAGTCAGACTACTAACAAAGCCTGCTTTATATCTTTCCCAGAGATTACCATCCTAAAATTAGTTTCACATTTATTGCTTTTTCCAAGAATATATTTCTCCGTTCCAACCCTTACCTATTATTTCTATAACATTCCGTCCAACCCTTTTGTTCAAATCACGTTTTCATTGTGATAATCATAATTGTTTTCTACAATTACGTACGGAAAAATGTGTTACCTGTTATTTCTTCATTAATTTAATCAAGATTTCACATTATTTTTTAACGTTTTTCTTTTTTTTTTCTTTTCTTTTTTTTTTTTCTTCTGATTATAACAGAAAGCCTTCCTGCAAAGCAGATCAATCTCATTGGTCGACATGTACATTGATAATTCTGAACCAAGTGAAAGCGTCGGGCAAATACATTTTAGTCTTGAATACAACTTCCAGAAAACAACGCTCATTCTAAACATCATACAGGTTGGTATCTATTTTTATCGCAAATATTCATTTAATTTAACCTTTTATTCTATGCTAATGATTAGATGACCTTAATTACCATTGTGTGTGTGTGTGTGTGTGTGTATTTATATGTGCGAGTTTACATTTCCGTTCTTTGATTTAATTACTCAAGCTTATTGATTATCACTTTAGAAAGTATTAATGCGTCAAGTTGTGTGTTCAGAAGATTAACTTCATGTTTTTATTTTTTTTTATCAATGTTAAATAAAATATAAATCTTTCTTTTTAAATTTACAAACGAAAATGATATTTCAAATGATTGATCTTTCATTGTTGAATTTCGTAAATTGACGAAAACGTAATTCTCGTCTTTCGAATCTAAATTACCCGGAATTAAATTGCGAGAGGTAAAAAAGAAAACAAGGAAATTACTTTCCGAAGAAGCTTTCTTTAGAGATACGCGAATAGATTTAACAAGTTTTTTAGTCTCAACTTGGAAACAATTTTTCTTCGATCAAAAACGCGCTACTATTTTTTCTTTTTTTTTTTTTTTAATCGACGTACTGTTAAAAAAGCTTTTATAGAAAAGAAAAGAAAAGAAAAGTATTATATTATACGTTGAAAACTTTTCAACGAATGGTTTTTATATTCGTTGAACCGTAAACTCATTAATATCCAATGGTAACACGATTATATAGGATATAAAAATAATGTTCGAGAATGACGAGCAATAAAATAAATGACTCTCTTTTTTTTTTTTCTTTCAAGTACTCGAAGTATGCAATAAATAAAAACGAAATTTATCGTAAGTTGCATTACTTGCATAAAAAGAAAAAAATAAAAAGGAATACTAATTCTAAATAAAATGAAGAGAAAATACAACAACAACAAAAAAAAGATAATTATTAAAAACTTGTATAATATAAATAGAAAGGTATATTTTCTTGGAAACATACGAACAATATTTATCGTAACGTACGCGTTAATGATTTTGTAATTTAAATTTATCAATAAATGTGTGTGTGTGTGTGTGTGATGTGTTTATGTATAAGAAATAGAGAGAAGGTAACACACATGGACAAAGTTAGAATCGATTCGTTTAGGACTTACGTCATATCGGACATCTGCATAACGGGTCTCGTTTGAAAGGCGCTGATAAACAATCAGATAAACAACATTTTGCAATTTCCTCAAACATTACTATATATTTAACACTGTGTGTGACAATAAGTATAATATGTATTATATGCATTATCACAACACAGTATACGCTAAAACTATCCTCACATTGTTCGTTATCTCGTTCAACTATCTTTCTGTGATCGAATTCTCAAATAAAATTCAACTTTTACATGCATACGTTACTCGATTAACTTGTTACAATAAATATTATTGTATAATAATATAATATATATTGTAATAAATATTATATAGATAATATATTGTATTTATAATTTGAATTTTTTGGAATATTTTATAGGAAAAAGAAAAAAAAAAACAGAAATATCTCACATTGGATATTTATTTTTTAGAGAATGATAGATAGTAAAAAAAAAAAAAAAGGAAAAAACTGATAAAATCACTTCATTATTTTCTATCTCTTTCAATCACATTTATATATACAAAATTCATATTAATTCATGTAAATTTCTCTCTCTCTCTCTCTCTCTCTCTCTTTCTCTCTTTCTATCGTTCGGTTTTCGAAAATTTATTGCCATTATCGACGTTTAAACTCTAGCGAACACGTTAAATATCACGATCAGCAGAAACTAAAATGAGATAAGTTCTAACTGTTTCTCTCTCTCTCTCTCTCTCTCTCTCTCTCTCTCTTTCTCACTTTATTTCTTCTGCTGAATCGCTTCATGTCGAACGAGAGAAAGAAAGAGAGAGAGAGAGTCAGCAAAATCTGTCGCCAACATTTTCGTTCCCGTCAAATAAAAATATCGACGACGAAAACGACGTCTTTCACGTTTCCCCAGCATGTTATGACATTTTCTATGGTAATTTTAACGTTTAATTTTTGTAAAAGAAAGAATATTTATATTTTGATCGTTATAATTCGCTTTTAATTACTTTTTTTTTGTTCAATTGCTATTCATTAAATCGATAATTAAAATAAACGATACTACGCGATAGTTTTATTAATTCATAGAAAAAATGATTAATATATAATATGGTGGTTGAAAGCAAGGATTATATTAAATTAAAATAAAAAAAGGTAGTGGGGATTGAACTAAATAGGAAAATTTGAAACGACTCGTTATCGAAAAACATTTTAATATTAATAAACAAGGCCCTTTTTTTATATATATATATTTATAAATGCAACTAATATGTGAGAGCGGCGGGATACGGGAACGATTTCGAAAAAATTGTCGCGTGCCTTTTGAATATACATTAAAAAAAACGGTATATTTTAAATAAATGGTCAATATGTATATGTATATATATATATATATACATAATAAAATATCGATAAATAAATATAACGCAAAGTTACACTTTATTACAAATATTTGCGCAGTATAAATTATTATTTAATTTCACACAGAAAGCTTAATCAATTAATATACATTTATATAGTACAAGAAATAGAACAAACATTAATTTTCTTAAAACAATTATTTCCAAAATAAATGTATTAAAAAAAAACAAATAGTAACAAAAAAAAAAGATTTATTAAACAAAAATAAATATATTAAAAAAAATATTGTGCAGTGACATTTTCGTAAAATCAATATTAACCACCCGTTCCCGTGCAGAATAATAACCAAACGTTCAAAATCTGACTGAAAAATATTCCTGCAAAAAATCGATTCGTTTAAATCTCGAATAATACTCCGACCTACTATAAAAAAAAAAAAAAAAAGATATAAATAAAAAGATAAATAATATATTCATAGAAAGATTATTATTTATCGTTTTCTTTCGCGGTACGCGAAAGATAAGAAAATATTGTTGATTTACGAATCCTCGTTTTCCTATGGAAAAAGAAAAAAAAACATCACGGTGAGGGGAAGGAAGGAAGGAAGGAACGAGGGCGTGGGAGGTGGGGTGGGGGGAGGGGAGGGAAGAGGGATTTAGAAAACGTATATCGGAAAATGTTCGACATAAAGAAAGATAAATTGGCGATCGTGTCGTCGCGTATGACTACTTTCGTGTTGGAAAATAAACGATGAAGAAAAAGGTGCTCGCACGATCGTGTCTCGAATCATTTTCTCTTTATTTCTTCCCCACTACCATCACCCACCACCCACCATCATCACCACCACCATCATCCCCATCATTATTTTCATATTCATTTTTATTTTCGGATACACGAATTAACTCGATTACACCATTGAAAATTCTCTACAAATTTCTGTTATATGATTCACGCGTTCTCATCCTCTATTGGACATTATTAATACTAAAGTAAATGTTATCGCGATGAAACGTTTATAATAATGAACGAGAGAGAGAGAGAGAGAGAGAGAGAGAGAGATCATTATCAATGCTGACGTTGCAACGTTTCGATAGATATTCCCGTTCGATTGATTAATTCATCGAATTGTGTCCCCCTCGCCACCCCTCGTCCCCCTCTATCCCTGACCCCCTTAGTCCACTTTTCCCCCATCGTCCTTGTCGTTAATATACTTACTTTATACGGAGAGATAATTAAAACGTACGAATATCGTATGAGCAAGTATCGATTATCACGCATGTGTGATATATGTTCATTTGAAATATGTTTACTATGGATCGGATTTACGAGCCTAACTCATTAAGCGTGTAGTTTATTTAACAGGGTGTATGTATATGTATGTGTGTGTGTGTGTGTGTGTGTGTGCTGCATATGTGTATCTTTGGACAATTTAAAATGTGATAACAGGGAAGAAGAAATGAACAAAAAAAAATGAAAAAAAAAAAGAATAAAAAATTACACGTTGCTAAAAGCTTTTCCAACAATCGGAAAGAAAAAGTATCTTCGAGTTAGAGTAATCATTCTTCTTTTCTATGCAAACAGTGTTGAGTGGGAGGTGGGGGGGGGTGGTGGAGAATGGTTTAGGAGAAATGGAAAATGCACTTTCATTGACGCCAGGATTGTATCTTTCTAATCGCGTTAAAAAGTTTTGCGGGAAAACATCTCGGGAGTAATGAAAAATTATCGTTCGTTTTCTACAAAATAACGTTCACGTTTATCTTAGGTAAAGTAAAGTGAGAGAGAGAGAGAGAGAGAGAGAGAGAAAGAGAGATAGGGATTTTGTTACTTTGACTAATAAATCCGAAGGATAAGTCATTTAAAAGAGTTAACTCGTATTTTGTTTCTTTTTTATTCTCTTCAAAGTACGATTTATTCCTTCAGGATATGAAACTTACTACTATCGTCTAAGTTAACGTTAAACAAAATAGATTGTTCTTTACAGATTTAACGATAATATATATATATATATATAGAGAGAGGATTTTTACACACACAACGTTGTTTCAATAATTTATTAAATTCGTTCGAAAAAGAATTACATTATTTCGTTTTTCTTATTTTTATTATTTCAAAAGTTTTGTCGATTTTCGAAATTTTTGATATATAAATAAGAAAAAACAATTATTTTCGCATTGGAAATAGAACAAACAAAAATATAAGAGAACTTAATGGTTACTTCTCGAAGATAAATAGAAAAATAGTCTTTAAAAAGTAGGAACGTTTGTGCACGTGAGTTGAATTCACAGAATAGGAGTGTTGGAGGGTTTCTGCTGTTATCGATTTTCATTTCTAACGGCATGAAACATCTTAAAAAATTGGACGTTACTTTAAGAAAAAAATTCTAAGAATAAACTAAGAAATAACGAATAATCAATTTTAACGAGAGAGAGAGAGAGAGAGAGAGAGAGAAAGAAAAACAGTAAATGAAAGTATTTTATTCATTTCAATTCTATATCTTTATGATTTATTATGAAGAAAATAAAGTAGTAGATAAAATATCGTAGATGCAAACTTTTTTACGAAACGGATTACTAACGTACAAAATTTTTTTCCTTCTTTTTTTTTTTGTTCTTTTTCTAGGGTAAGGATTTACCTGCTAAGGATTTGTCTGGAACTTCGGATCCGTATGTACGTGTTACGTTACTTCCTGACAAAAAGCATCGTCTTCAGACAAACATAAAAAGACGCACATTGAATCCTAAATGGAACGAGACGCTTTACTTCGAAGGTGAATTATTTCTATTTTTTTATTAACAATAATTATCTCATTTCTCATAATAATCCTATTTCATTTTCGATATATGTCTTATATCTCTTACATATTAATTATCCGTATCTCTAATGACAATTCACAATTTTGTTTAATGGGAAATATAAAGCAAATACAAGAAGAAAAAAAAATAAATAAAATAAATAAAACGTACCGTCGATTTTAACCAATATCTTTTTTTTCTTTTCTTTCCTCCCCCCCTAAATTAATTCATACCAGTAATAATTGAAACGTCGAAAGTGGTATTGGAAAACGTAAAAAAAAAAAAAAAAATAATAATAAAAATGTAAAACGTAAAAATGTTTTATTTTATTTGCCCTTTTTTATTTTTTTTTTCCTTCCCCCCATTCATTTTTTATTCAATACGCGTACTAAGCAACAAACGTGTAAATGATTTACAATTGTAAATTATAATTAATCGCATAAGTTAATGTGTGTATGATAGAGAACATTTCGACATAACGTTTTTTAATGAAAATCATTTTTAATACTGTTTGTCAAAAACAACGAACATTTGTAGAAAAGAAAATTTGAAACTTATATTATACCAAGTACAAATGTTTTATTGACAAATGAACAAACAATCAGACTGGAGAAAGATTTGAATAGTTGAAAAAAAAAAAAAAAAGTATATAATATGTTATGTTACTTTACAGGTTTTCCTATTCAGAAGTTGCAAAGCAGAGTACTGCATCTTCACGTTTTTGATTACGATCGTTTCTCGAGGGACGACTCTATAGGAGAAATTTTTCTACCACTTTGTCAGGTAATATCGAATTGTATATGCATATATGTTGCATATAATATATGTGTCTGCATGTTTTATTATTTAAGGATACGCATACGTCCTCTTTAATATTTAACAATTTTGTATAATACATTACTTGTTCTCTGTGTGTTTTATCATTTTATCAGATTACACAGATTTTAATATATTAAACTTATTTTCATTTAAAATAATATTTAATTCAAACGATATATATATATATAAGATTTGAGATAACATTTGACAGAGTAATAAAATGAAATGGTCAAATGCATAGTAAAAAAAGAATAAAAAAAAAAAAAGAAAAGAAAAGACAATTAATACTATTTGCTTTTAATTATAAAATAAAATAAACGTATAATATTCATCCGCGTCGTTGTTCATTTTTCTACTTTACAATGATAAAAATAAAAGACGAAGACGATTTATAAGCTCTCGTTCTCACACTCGTCTATTTCACGACGATGTAAACAACCATTAAATATAATATCTACTTTCATTTCTCGTAGAAAGAATTATGAGTTTCATGAAGTATCGCGTATCTCGCAAAAAAAAAAAAAACAAAGAAACACAATAAAATGTGTCTTTAACTCAAATACCACGTGGCATTAGCTTTTTACGATATTGTTTTTATTTTATTGCAATACGTTCTTGTAAATGAAATTTTTATTATTCCATCGATGATAACAATTACTCTTTTATCTGTACACGTTCGTTAATATAATATGTCGTGTAACTTTGTGAAAAAAAAAAAAAAAGAAAAGAAAAAAAATTAAAATTATTTTCCTATATATCTAAAATAAAAAATTTATAAAACTACAATATGAACGACAATGTGGTATTGCATGATACCATAGCAAATTAATTCGAGAATCACTATTATATATGTTAATCGAATATATCTATGTGTTGACAAGACGACATAGCAATGATTATTCTCCGTTTCTGAGTACACATTCACTTCCCAAGAGTAAATCACGATTGTCTATCTTCTCCTCTTTCGTGGATCGAATAACGTCAATAGAAATGGAACATACATTCTACTACCAATGTATGACCAACGTAAATAAACGACCAATGCATGTGATTTCTCTCATAATACATACACACACTTATACACACATACATATTATACGCATATCTAGTCTTTCTCGTATTTCTCTTAAACGTATGTGCACATACGTAATAACGCATCGTGTGCACAAGGTATCTTGTGTCATTCTCATAATTCCCATGAACAATTATAATAAAATAGAGATTTCAATTGAAATTTCCAGGTAGATTTATCGGAGAAGCCATCATTTTGGAAGGCACTGAAACCACCGGCTAAAGACAAGTGCGGTGAACTTTTATGTTCCTTGTCTTATCACCCAAGTAATTCGGTACTGACGTTGTCCCTGTTAAAAGCTAGGAATCTCAAAGCCAAAGACATTAATGGGAAATCAGGTAAAAATAATTTTCTTTTATTATTAATCTAAATTTTGGTTGACACTAAATTATTAAAAAATCATTTGCCTATATATTTTCACGAATTTAATAATATTAATGATAACAAGTTTGAATCCAAAACACGAATATGTGTCGCGTGTCACACTCGTGGAAATTAAATGGTACGACAAAAAGGGGGTTCGTTCGATTGATTATTATAAAAATATGATTTATTGTTTTTATCTTTTTTTTTTAGATCCTTACGTTAAAGTTTGGTTACAATTTGGAGACAAGAGAATCGAAAAACGTAAGACACCGATATTCAAATGCACTCTCAATCCTGTATTCAACGAAACGTTTGCGTTCAACGTACCATGGGAAAAGATCAGAGAGTGTTCTCTCGATGTTATGGTTATGGACTTCGACAATATAGGACGTAACGAGCTTATTGGCCGCATACAGCTCGCAGGTAAATTAGGTAAACCTTAGAAGTTTAGTTTATTATACACGAGGTATGATCGATTAATGAGTTGTTATATATCATATACATGCTACACACACATAACTATGACAATTCTAATATAAATTTACCGTAACGATGATAAATATACATTGTCATTGAAAATAATTAGCTTTTTTTAATATTAAAATGATACTTTATTTTCGATCAGTATAAATAACAATTGTTAGAAATATTTTGAACGAGTAAATCGGTATTTTTGTTAATAGGATAATATCATTGCACATTAAACTTTCTTATAAATATTAATCATTTTTCTTTTTTTTTATATAATATACTTTTTTATTTATTAATCAATCCAAATACTAATCGTTAATATTACATTAAATAAAAATGATTATATCGCGCGTGCGATTGGAAACAAATTACAATAAGAGAAAAATTTGTCCTTTTAACATTTGCTATTGAAAACGAATTCGTGGAGATCTTTTGTTTGTAAAAATTGTTTATAATACTTATGTTTATAGGAAAGAATGGTAGCGGGGCTAGCGAGACGAAACATTGGCAAGATATGATAACGAAACCTAAACAAACGGTAGTACAATGGCATCGTTTAAAACCCGAATAAAAATTTGTCAACGTGGAGAGGAAAAGAAGAAGGATGATGATGATGATAATGATGATGATGATGATAATGATGATGATGATGATGATCAATGCCGATTTTACGTTTTACGAGCGTCCATTCGGCCTCCTCTACGAGAAATTATTATTCGTACGAAAGGGGGGGGATCGTTCGAGGATTACGATGATTACGATGAAAAATAAACACGACGATGATGATGATGATGGTGATGGTGATGATGATGATGAGCGCATTTTGATCTATTGTTTCGTATTGAAAAGTTTTCTCGACAAAAAAAATAAGCGAATAAAAGTAAACGATGTCGTCAAAAAAGAAAATGACGTTATTGTTACTGATTAACAAAAAAAAATATATATATATATATATATATATTGTATGTATGTTGGTAATTATGACAGTGGGGCAGGGGGGGCAGAGAAATAAAATTAATTTGACGATTTGTTTGTATATTACAAAATGATTAATATATTATTGCAATATAATATAAATCTGAAAAGAAATTTATACAAATTTGTTGACTTAATCCACTGTTGCAATTACCATCACATGTATATATATATATACATAGACACTGATATATACATACGTATACGTACACACCTAAGATTATGTACATGCATATAAAGAAACATACACACACACACACACACACATACGCGTACACGTTTTCACACTTATATCATATGTATACTACGAATGGAAAGAAAAAGAAAGAAAATACCAGCGATTAACGCAAAAACAAATTAAAAGAAAGAACAAAAGCATTTCCTCCCTTCCCCCCATTTGATGAGAGAATGAGATCGGTGGGGTGGGGGTGAAGGAGAAAAAATATATCGAATGCTTTTACTTTATGTTCGCATGCGTGCGTTCGTGTCTGCTGCTGTTGCTGCTGCTGTTGTTGTGTTGTTTAGTTGTACGAAATAGAATGAAATAGAGAAAGAGAGAAAGAAAGAAAGAGAGAGAGAAAGTAAACAAAAAATAGAACGATCATTAAAATCGTGATCATTTAAATGACGTTCAATTGACAACGGCCACGTGACAATTTGTTACGTGTAAATTACTTAAATCGATTATTACCGTGAGAGAGGAAAAGGGCGAGTCGAGGGGGTGGGGGTAGGGTAAAGAAAAACAATAAAATATTTAATACGAAATTAAATGAAATTAAGAAACCGGGAGTGGAGGGGTGGGAGGAAGGGTAAAAAAAGGAATTAAGTAAGCTGTTATCTTTCTCAGAAATGTTGTTGACCGTTTTGTATTTTCGGAAGTACCGCCAGTGATTTAAACAAAAAAAAAAAACAAGAAAAAAAAACAAAAAAAAACGAATATACGCGCGCGTACCCCTCTTCCCCTACCCTTCCCTTCCCATCCCTTCCCTTCCCATCCCTTCCCTTTACCTAAAACTAGTTCGAATCCTTGCTCTCGTTACCTACTTTATTCCTCCCTCATCCACTTCCATATAGTAGTAAACATTATACCTAACTACCACCTATCTGCCCTAACCCAAATTCATTATTTATATATATATATATATAGTGAGAGATAGTTTTTAACGCTAAGGTAATTTTGATATATGAATAATAATACATTTTTGCTGCCGAGCGAGTAATTTTGTAATTCGCGCGTTTCCCTCGGCCCGCCCTCCTCCCTTCCCCCTTGCCCCTTGCCCCACCACCGATTATCTTTGTACATTTATCTACAGATCTATTGTAGATCTATGTTTCGTTCATTTGATTTCTTTTTTTTTTTTTCCTTCTTCTATTCTTTCGTTCTTAGTTTTTTTCCTCATCATTTTCAATTGTATTTCAATAATAAAAATAAATATTATACGAAAATGATTGTAGTGAGAAACGATTTTTAACGTGAAATTTGTTTCCAATAAAACGCGAATGAGTTAGATGAGTATAAATTAATATTGAATCATAATGATTTCGTATTGAAAATTTGATGATTATCGAAGGTTATTGTTTTTGTATTTTCTTTCGATTACTCATTTATTTTCAAGTCAATCTCTGGAAAAGTTAATATTAAAGGAAAATTACGATTATAACGAATTGCCGTTTTAAATATTGTATAGTTTAAAATATTAAACGTGAAACGAGCGAAGTAGTCTCGTTTTTAATTCGCTCGAATAAAAAAGAAAAAAAAAAAAAAGAAAAAACAAAGAAAGAAAAACTAACGTGAATAGAAAACAATTAAAAAATGATAATTTTTCGACTAGTAGCCTATCGTAGTAATAACAACCAACAAAAATGTAAGGGATGAAAGAGAGAGAGAGAGAGAGAGAGAGAGAGAGAGAGAAAGATATTTTTAACGAGAAAAACTTTTGTATCGAAACCGGGCGCGTGATTTCTCGGGGAGGAATTGGAAGAGAAGGAAATGGGGGAGGAGGGGTTGGTTGATTGATTGGTTTTGGGGTTAGGGGTGGGTTAGAGAGCGATAAAAATAAAAAACAAAATAATGTGATCGGTGTACATTATACACACTTATTAACAAAAAAATAAAAAAGGATTTCAAAAAAAAAAAGAAAAGAAAAGAAAAGAATAGAAAGAAAGAAAAAAATACAGGACGCGAACGGAGACAAAAAAAAATAGAAGAAGAAGAAAGAAAGAAATTACGTAAGGAAGGATAAAAAATATTTATTGTTACATTATACACCTGATATAGTCTGCTGTTGTTAACAATAATGTTAGGTAAAATTCCTCAATCGAATAAGATTCGATCGCGAATGAAAAAGACAAAAATTTTGCTTGGTAAACCGAAGCTCGCTTATTGTTTTTGAGCGTTTTAGCTATTTTACGGCACGTACGATATAATTATCTGAGAAAAAAAAAGAAAAAGAATAAGAATATGAAATAAAAACCACGAGACACGAGAATAGTCGCGTTGCATATGTGTATCTGCGCGCATATTATACTAAATATA